AACAATTTTTTTTTTCATACTAAATATAAATCCTTCAAATTTTGGCCACAAGCAAGTATAGTGACCTTAGTTATGTACTAAGAAGTGTAAGGAAATTATAATCACATGAAAATCCAAGTTTTTTGTGCCTTACTGAACTAAATTACGATGTCTTATTTATTGTCCACATAGGCAATCCAAGGTAATATTGAGAGCTAGAGATTGTAATCACACAAATGAGATTTTCAAGATTAAGCTCCATTTGTTTCGTGAAAAATTGATGATTATGAAAATATTTTCCTAAAAATGATTGCTTGTATCGCTTGCAAAAATGAATGTACGAAAATTCCAAACTAAGCTTCTGATCTGAAATTGAAAAAATACACGACTCTTTGTTAGCGCGATATATTCAAGAATATAGTGTGAAAGAGGAGATTGTGATAATGAAAATGCAATGTTCGATTCATATAGATCGATTATCATCGATCAGAGATCATCATAGAGTTACACTCAATCATATAAACTATAAGAATGTAGGTATTCAAGCATCCCCATCCCAGAGCTCATCAAGTGATTTGTAAGGCCCATCCTCAGAAATGAACATGTCATTAGGACATCCTCTTTTCTGTGGAATCTGAAGCTTGATCTTGTCCAAATCCTCTTGGCTAAGTCCCCATTCTAAGATTTGCAGGTTCTCTTTCATTCTCTCTTTGTTGAAGCTCTTCACTATCACGCATGCCCCTTGCTCATATATCCATCTCAGTGCAACCTTTATATGTATGCATGTATATAAGGTATAATACACAAATTGGAGATAAGGAAAAGCAAATAACGTGATCCGTGAAATTAGTTGAGTATTTCATAAATCGTGATTATCCTATTACTTATCATATGGGATAAATTGTGATTATCCTCCCTTAATTGCACGTGGATAGAAAGAGAGATTGGAAGATGTCTTGTAATGGTAATTTCAATCTTGTCTTAAGGTAGGGGTTAGCAATGTTGCTAGACCAACTATGAGTTCTTTTTCTATAATTCCACCAAACAATCATTAAAACCTTATCGTATGTTGGTACTTGATCTATAGCACTGTTTTATACGGATAGCAATGGGAGAAATGAGCGACATGTGGAAGAACAGGGTGAATATAAGTCAACAAATTATTTTTTAACCCCGAAAGTTGGCAACTGAGGATTGCCGTCAAAATTTTTAATCCCCAGAAGATGCGCCCTATTAAAGAATTCTTTCGCTTAGCTTTCGTTTTCGATATGACTCGATCTTTAAGAAAAGTCATCCGGAAAGCACAAAACAACAAGACTAAAAGAAATCTAGAAGCGCACAAGAAATTGTATTGTATGGCTGCTGAAGTTGCGTGTTCACCAAAATTTTGTCTTGTGGTTCCGGCTATTACGCAACCACAAGTTTCTTTCTACGATTAATTCGTAGAGAGACACCTAGTCGACTGACAGGGACATGCATGGAGGGGACAAAAGGTTAGAGCTACAAAGTACCGTCATCGGCTGCCTTTGCTATGCAATTTCTGAGGAAAGTGCTTCTAAATTATGCTTTCCTGAAAATGACAAAAATCTTAATTTTTCTTTGATTCCATCTACTCAATCAATGATCTCTTTCCCCCCAAGAATTACACCAAAATAGGAGGAAAAAAAAACTCAAGAAGAGAAGTGAATATAGTACCTGAGCCACGGTCTTGCCTCTGGCAATAGCAATCTCCTTGAGCACAGGACTCTCCACAACCGCTAATGTTCCCCAAGCAGCTCCATTCGCTCCCAAAGGGGACCATGCGCTCACCTGTATTCCCTTCTCTTTGCAATATCCTATCAGCTTCTCTTGTTGCCATGCCACATTCATCTCCACCTAAACCATGGTTATCCCATCAAATAAAAAATATTACTCTGTCGTCTTTCCTAAAAAAATCTGTGTTTATACCATTAATGAAGAGATTAGATATAGTATATTCTTCTAATTGCCTGATTAACAGCAGGAGGGATAGTGGCGTGCAAGAGGAGATCAGAGAGCTTCTTGGTGCCAAAATTGCTGACTCCAATGGATTTGGCTAAGCCCAGCTTGGAGCACTCTTCCATGGCTTCCCATGTGCCCTTGATGTCAAATGGCAAAACCTTGCCCTTGAAATCGAACCCTTCGGTTCCTTCCTTTAGTCTCACTGGCCAGTGGATTAGATACAGATCCACATACTCTAACCCTAGCCTCCTATTTAAATCGACCAAGTGCCATAAAAAAAGAAAAAAACCATCAAGACCCATGAACGCGCCCATAAAAAAAAAGGAAAAGATTAAGCAGCAAGATGAAACATGTTATGTTGTTGTAGTTCTCAGCATAATAAAAGTGAAAGGTAGTCAATCTGGCAAAGGAAGAAGAGTAATGTTTATCATATATGTTTTCCCATGACAAAATTCTTATACGGTCATAAAAATTCTTAGTGATCAGGACTATTGTGTCATCGTAAAAAAAGTGGAGGAGAGAAGGCGAATTGATGTATTTACTGGAGAGAGTTCTTTAGGGCGGGAAGAACGAGACCGGGATGGGCGTCTGTGCACCAGAGCTTAGTGGTGATGAAGATTTGGTTGCGGCTCTTGACGAGCCGGCGGTCCAGGGCCTCAGCCACAGCTCGGCCGAGCGCCTCCTCGGTGCCGTACAACGCCGCAGTATCAAAGTGGCGGTACCCAGCTTCGATGGCCTCTAGGAATATGGAAGTCAACACGTCCAGCGGCGGCCGAGGGCTCGCTGCGCAGCCCATGCCGATCAGTGGCATTCTCTCGCCGGAGCTCAGCGCCACTTCTGGGACTACGACGTCGCCCATTGTGCTTCTGTTCTGTGTTGGGGTGTGCGCGCGAGAGAGAGAGATGGTGGAAGTATAGTGATTAGAAAATGTGGAGGCAAAGGTTGCTCGAAGGAATACTAATATTTATATAAAGCAGAAGAAAATGAAAAGTTTTTTTTTAATACGATATAGTTGACTTGAACTTGTGATAAATATTATGCGTGGTAAGCAAGACAGACTTTGTCAATGCCGCCCTCGTTTTCATCGAAACTTCCTCATAATTTTTTTTTCTGACCAAAAAAAAAAGAACTAAATTATGATGTACTTATATAATGTCCACATAGGTAAAAGTAATCCGTAAAATTCTTGAAATTTAGATGCCGCGCTAAAGAAAGTTTGAGATGATAGTCACATAAAATGAGATTTTATGAATTGAGTACCTTAATATTTTATTATTCTTATCTCAATTTGTATCTGAACAGTTGGGTCTGTTCATGATTGAAAGATTTTTTTTGTGTAACTTGGGCTTGTTACTTTTGTATATATACATAAACTTGTCTTGTTGCATAAACTTGTCTTGTTAAGATCAATGAGAGTCAAATTAGTTGTCCAAAGAAACTTGTTCAATCGAAAAAACAAAAGTGGTGTGGTTCAAGTTGACTAAGGTAATTGCACTAACCTAGAACATATCTCATTGTTGTCAATTCCAAATGTTCAAAACTTGAATCCTACTTTATAGGCTCTTGGAACCATTCTGAAACTCGAAAGTCAAAATCTATCGGTTCACAAGTTTCAGGATACCCCTTTTTATTCTGTATTTTTTGAAAAATATTATTAATTAAAATGTTATTGCATTTAACGCTTTTAACATGATCTTATCTAGTACTATAATTACACATAATTTTTAAAATTATACGAGGAAGACATCTAAGTATAATACTCGAGAAACCACCCCAGGATTGTCTTTATGGCCAGAGCTTTCCCATAATTTTTTTGGGGTCAAATACCCCAAAATGTTGAACTTATGCTCTGTGTTTTTCCATGCAAACAACAAGGAGCTAATTCTAGATGTTTCTTTTTTTGCTGTCTCGATTTTAGCTAAAACCTAACCGATTGGAAATGAGCAATTAATCTTCTGCCAATTTACCAAATCGATTAATGCATCGTCAGCAATCTGAAGAAACTTCTTTTGATACAATTAAATTCGGAGAGCTCGTTGGTTGCTTTATATGGTGTCATCTCGACAGTCGATGCCAATTCCATAGGCTATTTACCTATTAAAACCCACATTTATTGTGGCTCGATTTAAAGTGTCAAGATTCAAGACCACTTCATTGGCGGCTGGTTTGGACCTGACCAAAGTTTCACCGCCCAAGACCACTTAGTCGGCGGATGTCTGGACCTGTAATTAGTATCCCTTGAACAATGTTAGGTATAGTGTGAAGGGCTTTTTATTAACAAGTGTCACAGGACACTTATTAAGTATTATGAATAGGGATTTACTCGGGGAAATTGTCCATTCGATCTTAAACCTATTATAAAAATGTTGGTTCAGCGCTCGACTTTTTAATTCAGCCAATTTAGTCTTAAACTTTTGCGCGAAATTCTAATGTAGTCTTTTCGATCAATTTTCGCCAGAAAGCACTAATGTGGTGGTGTGCCATGTAGGATAGCCAGAAATGACTAGACTGCCATGTCAACAGTATCCATACGAAAATTGACCGGAATGAGTATATTGGAATTTCGTGTAAAGGTTTAGGATTAAATTAGCTGAATTGAAAAGTTAAGGGCTGAACTAGCTTCCTTATAATAGGTTTAAGACCGATTGACTAAATTTCCTAAATTTATTTCAATTTTCGAAACAACAAACACGTATCAAGTTAACGAAATCAACTTTAATAAGTTCATTGCTCCGTGCTTCGAATCCATTTCTCTTTTAACCTATTAAATTGCCCGAGTATTATATTATTGGGAATATTTACTGAACAAACGAGCTTCAACTGTAAAGAGTAATTTGCCTCACAAGATTGCCGCAACATCGAGAATTTTCTTTCTACAATATGAGATATCTGCATTATTAGGTGAACGGTAACCACCTTGACTTATCTCCATATGCACATATCCATTTGTACTTATAATTCTCCATGTCCAATTTTCCTTTTTTTCCCCAGTCCCTCCTTAATTACTAATATCCCAAACATAGCGTTAGAGAAGAGATTGCTATAGTGAAAACACAAGGCTGATTTCATATAGATTTGCAATGAGAAAATACAAAATAAATGCTGCAATTATTGAACATCATCATCTGCAGCAGATCATCAGAGAGTGTGACACATGATCATCATGTATAAATCATCAGATGTGTGATCTAATTCAAATATCTCCATCCCAGAGCTCATCCAACAACTTGTAAGGCCCATCTTCGAAAACGAATACATCACCAGAAAATCCTCTTTTTTGTGGGATCTGAAGCTTGATCTTGTCTGAGTCCTCCTGGCTAAGTTCCCAATCGATGATTTGCAAGTTCTCTTTCATTCTATCCTTGTTGAAACTCTTCACTATCACAGTAACCCCTTGCTCATGTATCCACCTCAGCGCAACCTATATTATTTATATGTAGAGTTACACAACACACACATATATTCATGAGATATCGAAAATTGAATCATATGATTTATGGAATTAGCCCAGTATTCTTCATCGATTGGGATTTAGGTGCGCTTTCTCATCAAAAATATATTATGACTTAAGTTGGTGTTCCTTTAATAGATAGAGAGAGAGAGAGAGAGAGAGAGAGAGAGAGAGAGAGAGAGAGAGAGAGAGAGAGAGAGAGAGAGAGAGAGAGAGAGAGAGAGAGAGAGAGAGAGAGAGAGAGAGAGAGAGATGCTTTGTCACGTTAATATCAGTCTTATATATTTAGATTTGGTTTTGTTATGCCACCAAAAAAATAATAATTACGATGACATTTAATAAAGAAAGAAAGAAAAAAAAGTAACGTTGAAGAGCCTTGTAGTATTTGGAAGTTGAAAAAGAAAAAAAAAAGAACTAAATCTTCAATTGTTTTTAGATCGCACTCAAATATATAGGTCCAAAAATGCATAAGAGCAAGACCGCACTAATCTAGAATCACAAGACGAGTTGCATTGTGTGGTTGCTGAAGAAGCTGTGCACAAAGCCTATTATCATTTTATGGTTTTGACCATTCATGCACGCGAGCTTTTTAATCCTAAGAGAGACCATATCGACAAGGACGTGCATGGAGGAAGATGTTACACATTGCCTCCTCATGTAATAAGCAAACGTAATTTCTTCTGCGATCTACCTATATAACCGGTGAGGAAATTTCTAAAGTAAAAGCTTCCTTTTTAAAACGACAAAATATCACTTTCTTTCTCCAAATTAGTCACGATAAGTACCCGAATGCATTTAGCTATAATTTGGGGTAGTTTGCAAATCAACGGTTGAAATCAATTCTGTAAAGATTTGATTTCTATTAACTTTTTGAGAGAATAGTTCTTTTGAGATTATGAAAATCAACTCGCAGGGGTTCAAATTGACTGGGTTAGCACTTGGTTCAGATGCAATAAATCTCATGCTCAAATTACGGTATCTCCTAGTCTGAGTAACCATGGAAGCCATGTCTACTTCTCTATAAATAGAGTCTTACCTAATACATGTGAATAGAGAAAGGAAATTACCTGAGCCACGGTCTTTCCTTTGGCGACAGCAATCTCCTTAAGCACATGACTCTCCACAACCGCTAATGAACCCCAAGGAGCTCCATTCGCGCCCAATGGAGACCACGCACTTACATGTATTCCCTTCTCTTTGCAGTACGCCCTCAGCTTCTCTTGTTGCCATCCCACATTCATCTCCACCTAAACATGATGAACCCACAAACGAAAAAAAAAAAGAATCTTGAAGAAAATCTTGATTTGATATTATTCTACCCCAAAAAAAATCTAAAAAAATTGATGAAAATTTAATATTAATACACATATATTCTTCCTTTTACCTGGTTAACAGCAGGAGGTATTGTGGCATGCATGAGGAGTTGAGAGAGCTTCTTGGTGCCAAAGTTGCTAACTCCAATGGACTTGGCCAAGCCCAGATTGGAGCACTCTTCCATGGCCTCCCATGTCCCTTTCATGTCAAACGGCAACATTTGGCCTTTGAAATCGAACCCTTCCGTTCCTTCCTTCAGTCTTATTGGCAAGTGGATTAGATACAGATCCACATACTCTAACCCCAGCCTCCTATACAAATCAATACACACCAAGTGCCCAAAAAAACATGAATACAACATGACTAAACCTTTAAAAAACGCGGAAAAATAATATAGAGGAAAGATTGGAAAAACCTAATGTCATGCAACTGATAATAATGTGTCGAAGTGAAAATGAATGTTTATCGTGTAAATTTTCGTATGAAAGAACTTCTTTTATGGTCTTTAAAGTTGATTGCTGACTTAGCGGTTTGTATAACTCTATATAGTGCCGAGCAGTAAAAATAAACAGGAAGAGATGGGAAGGCAGATTATCAAAAACTTACTGGAGAGACTTCTTGAGAGCAGGAAGAACAAGACCCGGATGAGCGTCAGTGCACCAGAGCTTGGTGGTGATGAAGATCTCGGCGCGGCTCTTGACGAGCCCTCTGTCCAGGGCCTCAGCGACGGCCCGGCCGAGCGCCTCTTCGGAGCCATAGCATGCTGCTGTGTCGAAGTGGCGGTACCCGACTTCAATGGCGTCGAGGTATATGGATGTCAGCACGTCCGGCAGCGGCAGATTGCTCATGGCCCCACCCATCCCGATCAACGGCATCCTCGTGCCAGAGCTCAGTACCACTTCTGGGACCACAACGTCAGACATTGGTGCTCTGTGTTCTGCGAGCGTGAGAGAGAGAGAACGTGGAAATCAGAAGTGTAAGATGATGAAAGGTTTCTTTGACAGTTTCATGAGAAGGAATGGTTGTATTTATATCCAGCAGAAGAAAATGAACTCAAGCACAAATTGAAGACTTATTAGAACTTTCTTCTGGCTGGCCGCTCATAAATGACCGTTGACGAATGAATTGACAACGTCTCACAACTTCGGAGAAAATCCACATTGCTTGAGATGTGTCTCATGTGAAAACAACTTTACATGTTCTAAGGGATTGTCCAATTGTCCAAAGGATGTGGCTTAAGTTTGTCCCACAACAATATTTGGGAGAATTCTTCTCAATGAATTTGTCGCAATGGTTGAATTCAAATTTCGCTGGTAAAGGACGATCGAATTTCCATTGTGATTAGAGCATAATTTTTGGAGTTGGTGTGTGGCTTTTTTAGCAATGGAGAAATAAGTCACTTTTCCATGACAACTTGCTTTTCCCTTCTAATCTGATACAAGTAATTCGGTCATACATAAAGAAAATCATTAAAGCTTCATCTGTGAATAACTCGATGTTAAGTGGATTATGCACTTCTCCAATTTTGGTCAGATGGGATCCTCCACCTTTCGAGTGGATTAAACTAAATACTCATGGGGCCTCTAAAGGTAACTTAGGACTTGCTGGTGCAGGGGGTTTATTTAGAAATGAAGGGGGTGACTGACTTGGTGGTTTTACTGCATTTATAGGACTATGTTCATCGACACAAGTAGAACTTTGGGCTTTGTGGTTGGTAATCAACTTCGCAAAACAATTTGGTTTTCATAAAATCATCATTGAGATTGACTCTAAAGCCATCACTGATCTTGTTAGCCCAAAGTTTATGATTGACAATGCTGCCCTGCTTTGCTTAAAGATATTAGAAGACTGCTGCGTTCTTATTTTGAGTTTAAATGCAACATAACTTTTGGGGAAATCGCTCTCCTAACTAATTTTGGAATCGATAAGCACTTGGATACTAGTTTCTTTTCATTACCTCCTACAGAATTACTTCATATTTTATTAGCCATTAAAATAGGAATAGTAAATTTATGACGTTAAATTTTTGTATTTGGCTTTTACCCTTTTTCATATGAAAAAAATGGAAAGTCTCTATAACAAGTAATTGACTCGGAGCAATGAATAGTTATCTTGAATGCATCAACGCGGACTTCATCTCACTAATGCAAGATAGAATCTTTGCATAATATACACCCGAAAGTGTCATTCCTTGTTGATTTTGCATGTATGAGCTACTGACAGAAAAAAAAAACACCATACATATACAAATCCACAAATACATATGTATTGGAAATAAATCCTGACTAAAGGTTTTTTTTTTTGGCCTTTTCTATGTATGCATTCTCATTGGACTACCTCTTCTTTTTTGGGTAAGATTATATAACCTTTAATCAAACACGAATTGAGTTATTGACCATAAAAAAACATCAAATTGAGTTGTGTGTGGCTGCCGAAAATGCCATTCATTGAACCTTATCTTATGATTTTGACTTGGGCTTTGATAGCATAATAATCTTTGGGCCGCTGTGAGAGTAATCGGTATATTGTGAGCTACAAATTCTTAAAAAAGTGGACCACACAACAATTTATAATTATTTTTTATTTATTTTTTGTGGTGCAGAACATGCTATTAATTTCACAGCAGGTTAAAAACTATCACTTAATCATTTCTCTACTGACTATTACCTACACGAGCTTTTTATCCTTAGAGTGAATTGGCCGTGCATGTGTGCAATTTTTTGATAAATCTCTTATATGTATTAAGATAAAGTTGGTCTTTAAAACTTGTTGGATCTCATGTGATGAATCTCAAGTGGGATCCTACCAAAATTTAACTGTCCAATTTTGTTTTAGTAGGTTTATTAAGTTTACTAAAAAAACATTTGACTTTCTTTCTACTTATAAGATGCTTCATCAGGCTCGCCGTCGGGACAATACTTTCATAACATAATATAAAAGAAGAGATTATGACAATGAAAACACAAGGTTCGATTCATATAGATTGATCATGATTATTGGCAAGAAATTCATCGTATAGTCACACTCAATCAAATGAGCTATACAAATGTAGGTATCTAAGCATCTCCATCCCAGCCCTCATCCAATGATTTCTAAGGCCCATCCTTGGAAATGAACATGTCACCATGATATCTTCTTCTCTGTGCGATCTGAAGCTTGATCTTGCTCGAATCCTCTTGGCCGAGTTCCCATTCTAAGATTTGCAAGCTCTCTTTCATTCTCTCTTTGTTGAAGCTCTTCACTATCACGGTTGTCCCTTGCTCATGTATCCCATCTCAGTGCAACCTTTATATGTATACATGTAAGTAAGGAACACATGATAATTGAGAAAATTACCAAAATAGTCATAAACTTATTATTAAGTATTTCATGGATCATGATTTTCCTTTTACTTATTAGATACGCTTCTCCATCCCCCCCCTCCCCCAAAAAAAAAATAAAAAGAAAATTAAATGGTGGCTAAAATATTTGTCCGCCCTTTATTGCAGGCGGACAGAAAGAGACAGATTGGAAGATATTGTATAAGAAATATCAGTGTCGCTTTTGGGTAAGGTTAGTCTTGCCGACCACTAATAGAAATGAAAATAACAGAGCAACAAGGTAAACAATTCTTTTAGTTAGCTTTCGTTTACGCTGTGCACATAGAACAAGACTAAAAGCAATGCAGGAGCACACACCAATTTGAATTGTATGGCTGCTGAAGCTGCCGGTTCCACTAAACCTTATGATTTTGACTATTACACGCACACGAGTTCATCCACAAAACACAGAGAGAGACACCGTTGACGGACAAGGACATGCATGGAGAGGACAAACGATTACAGCTACAAATGACACCCACCTCGATGACGCCCAGATAAGGTCAGGATATTGTGTGGTGGCAGAGGCGTTGTGGCCGTTCCAAACCGATCAACGGCATTCTGAGTCCTGAACTCAGTACTTCGTCCATTGTTGTTTCTCGTTTGTGTGTTTTGTCTTTCTTCGAGGGGAGTACAGATAAACGAAGAGATCCTGGGAAAAAAAGCAGTGGAAAAAGTGTTAGGATTCAGGAAGTTTTTCTTTGACACGTAATTGCAATTGATCTTTCAATATTCATGTAAGAAGGGGTCTCAAACTTCACGTGATTTTTGGATAAAAGTCATCCCTTCGATTGCATAATTTGAATCTTGACAGCGCAAATGTTGATATCTTCGGGTCGCTCGTTGAAGTAATTTTTCTCGTGCGGTGGGCTTTGCTGATAAAAGTCAAAGCGGTTTCTCATCTTTTGTTGGTGTTTCTGTTAATATGACGTATGTGCATGCATCAATAGTTGTCATGGAGCTATTCTTTCCGCCAAGATTAAATTCTGTCAATCCAATTTCATCAATTCACTCATTGATAATTTACCAATACTTATGAAAGTACAACCTTTCTTTTGTACTTAGCAAAATTAGCGCTTTTGGTACTGATTTACCAACTTTTATTTACATAACTTATTAACGCTTTGAATTTACTAACTCTTATATGAACTTACCCACCCAAATTAGAATGATTTACCAGCTTTTTTCAAATTATATTATTACCAACTAGTTTTGAATTACTGACTTTCTTTTGAGTTACCTACTAAAGTTTAATTTTCTTTTTCAGTTTATCAACTTTTCTATTGAGGAACTATTTCATTTGCCTTGGTTAGCATTACAATTATTAAATTTTTAAATATTACCAACATAAACTAATGTGACTTAGCAACTTTATTCCCATTAATTAAAATACTACATAGTTTTGGGTTACTAACTCTCTTTTGAGTTACTTTTTTTTTAGTTACTTACACACACAAACACACACACACACACATAGATATGTGTGTGTTTTTAATTTGTCTACTTTTCTTAATATTTTATTTGCATGTCTTAGCAATACCTTAAATTTTCCACTTTTTATTATAAATTACCATCTTAATTAGAGTTACCAACTTTCCTCTCATTAAGTTAACGACTAAATTTGGCTTACCAACTAGATCGCATTGAGTTACTTTACAAAGTTTATTTTTCTTTAAGTCATCAACTTATTTAATCTTTTATCTACTTTTATTTATCTTTCTTAGTTAAGACCTTAAAGTTGCCAACTCTGATACGAAACTACTAATTTTAATTTAAATCATATATAAACTTTTTCAGATTGAGTTATCAAGTAGTTTCTAACTCTCACTTGAGTCAGCTATCTATGTTTATTTTTTTTCACTAACTTTTCTATTGAGTTACGTAAAGCGGAAATTTAATGAACTTGGTCATCAATTAAAGGATGGTAATTGCATAGAGTAGTTGGTAAATTTAAGGTGTTGATATAAGGCTAAATAAAAGATGATAAATAAAGAGCGAATTTTTTTTCAAAGATAGGAGAAATTGGTGATGTAAAAAAAAGAAGAAGAAGGAATAAACATCAACAAGTAAACTCAAATAAGATGTGTCATCTAATTCACCTCAAGGAAAGTCGCAACAATAATAAAAACACAAGGTCGAGTTCATATAGATTTGCTACATGGAAATAACAAATAAAAGTTGCAATTTTTTTATCATCATCATTTGCAAGAGATCATAAGAGAGTAATCCTTGACTATCACATATGAATAATAAGATGTGTCATCTAATTCAAGTATGCACAATTTAGAGCTCATCTAGTAACTTGAAAGGCTCATCCTGAGAAATGAAATATCATATGGATATTCCTTCTCTTTTAGCGAGCGATCGTTGTTGATTGTATCACCAACAGCGTTGCTTGCTAGTGTATTGAGCATCGTAGGGGCGACAAGGTAACGAGACTCCTAAGTCAACACGGTTCAGTCTTCGACGACCAGTGTGAATATCTCTCTCTCTGGTTGGAAGGACTACATTGAAAAATGGTCAAAAATGTTTATGATTAAATTGGCTAAATTCGAAAATTTATGATTGAATCGGCTGCCATACAATGGTTTAGGACTTTTTGAAAAAATTTTCTCGAATTAACATATTTATTCTCAAACTTATTCTTGAAAACACCTTATTCAGC